CATTGCAATAATCACAAGAAATATAAAGTTCTGAAAAACTACTCTGACCATCTGTTCAGGAATGATATGAAAATTTAATGCATGATTGTTTACCTAAAATCATATCAACTAATTAAATTGGACAAATTATGATTCAAACAAATGGCATATCCTTAGAAAAGGGTCCTAATCAAATCTGAGGTGAAATGTGATTAGTAGCAAAATGATGGTACCTACTTAGTCAACATGACGAAAAAAATTGAAGGTCAATTAATCAAACACAGATTGAATTGAAATCATCCGAAGTATATTTTCACTTGAAATTTATAGAAATTTACTGAAAAGTCAGGTATTTGGGAGTCATGTGTTCAGAGCAATCAGCCAAGAATGACGATCTTCTACAATTAACTTATCAACCTTGGGTCATAGATAACATTCCAATGACACCCCAAATTCCATAATTTCCGATAGTATATAATTTTCCTGCACCCTGCTTTCTCTTCAACCTTCAATTCACGTGATCAAAGAAATTATTATTAGAAATCGTAAGACCTTTCTATTGATACCCACATGTCATAAAAAACTACAATTTCAATTTTTTACCGCTACAATTCCATCGCAGCTCCCTAAAGCAATTAGGGTTGAGAAATATTACGATGTAAGAAGTTCAATTTTGTCAATTTTCCAATATCCCATATAAGTCAAAATATGGAATTTTGAAATTTTCAGCTCCTCCCCCACCCACCCCTTTGTTTTTGTTCAATAATAAACTTGATATGTTTGTAAAATATTGTTCTAAATTATGCCCCCAACTTATGCCGACCGACTTTTCGCGAATGTTCGATGTTTACTTCCGTTCTAGATGTGGCGAGAATAATGTCACCGACGTCCATGGAATTCCAAGGAATTTTCTACGGCCTTCGATTGCCAAATATAAACATGATCCACTCGCCTATCGAGACAGTCAAATGAAAATGACAGTGCGGTACGCGGATGTATCTAGTAAGGCGATAGACATGTGATTAATAGTTGGAAGTGTTTTGTTGTGTTAAGAAGTGAAATAAAGTCAAGTTGGATTATTATACAGTGTAGTCAGTTATTGGTAAAACCACGAAAAAAACGTAACATTTGGTGTTTGAAGTGAAATATTTAACTGAACAATTTTTGTTTTATGGTGAAAACAAGGATTGTCGATTATGATGAGATAGAAAAGCTTGAGAAAATGTTCGAGGCTTTGCAAGCGAGCCTGGTAGAGAACGAAAAACGCCGAAACGAAATAGATGAACGGAGGGAGAAAGAACAATTACGCCGAAATGAAGAAGATGAACGAAGGAGGGAGAAAGAAAGAATACGGAGAAATGAAGATCGTGAATTACTATTAGGTATTCAGGAAAAACAGGAAAAAGAAAATCATTGGACATTTATTGGAAGATTTAAAATCTTCCCAAGTGAGTAAAGGAGAGGTACAGAAATTTATTCAGGAAGAATTTGGAAAACCATTTCAAGAAACAAAGAAGGCATTGGAAAAAGTAGTCGATGAGGAACTTGAAGGAGTCGGAAGGAAATTCAAAGAGGAGCTTGAAGGAGTCGAAAAAAATTTTGACGAGGTTTTCCGGAAACATCGGGAAGGAAAGAGTCACGGAAACGCAGAAAGCCTCTCAAGAAGAAAACGCTTGACATCCGGATGCATATTTGGTCAACGCCAGGAGGATACCCTAGGAGGGTACCCAGCTACCAGAAGAACTTCCCAACAGACGCAGAAGGAAGATCCGGTCTTGAAAACTGTATGAGAATGGATTGACAAAGGAGCGAGGCCGGAATGGCAAGAGATCTCAAAGTCCAGCCAGTAGGAAAAGGGTTACTGGCTCCAATGGGACAAATGTGCATTCGATGGTCGCACTGGAGGGCATTTCGGAGTAAATAGAACTCTAGTGAGAGTGGGTGAGAGGTACTATTGGGTCAACTGCCATCGAGACGTAGAAGAGTGGTGTAAACGAATGTGACCTGTGCTCTTCAAGAAAGTGTCCGAAGACAAGGCAAATAGGGAGGTTGAAGCAATACCTCAGTGGGTCCCCTTTCTGGGACCACTTCCTATGACTACATCCGGTAACAAGTACCTTATGGTTGTGATGGACTATTTCTCCGAATGGCCTGAAGTAGTAGTCTTACCCAACCAAGAGGCTAAAACGGTGGCAGAAGAGCTGAACGTTATTGCCAGACACGGAGTACCCCAGAAACTACACTCGGATCAGGGCCGCAACTTCGAATCGGATTTATGAAAGGAAATGATGATTTTGTTGGAAATAAAAAAAAAAGAACAAATGCTTTTCACCTGCAGTCCGATAAAATGGTCGAGAGGCATAATCGCACCGTAGCGTAACCTAAATAAATTTGTAAATACTCTGCCCAAAGATTTAATTATTTTTTCATCTGATCAATATCGTAGATTGCTGAGGAGAGTGTTGTGATGCGACCATCTTTTGTTGGGAATAAAGAAAACAGGAACAAATGCTTTTCACCTGCAGTCCGATGAAATGCTCGAGAGGCATAATCGCACAGTAGCGTAAATATGTAAATACTACGCTCAAAGATTTCATTATTTTTTCATCTGATCAATACCGTAGATTGCTGAGGAGAGTGGTGTGATGACTGCTACCTAGGACTCTTAGAATTGTTTTTAGTTTCTAGTACAACATCTACATCATTATTATCTTTTTCATTCAATAAAACCGTTCAACATAAAAACAATTTTACTGATTTTATTTTAAAGTTTTTAGTATTCTCATTCTGTTTTTAGTTCATTTAGTACCTCAGTATTACAAGGTAACATGTAATCCTTCATTTAGTAGCTGCGGCCATCTTGAATTTGCATCTTTTTCTCTACTAGTCAAGTCTTGACTAGTAGAGAAAAAGAAAGTCAAGATATGTAATCCGCCATTTTGTAGCTACCAACAGGAAGGGGTCAAATTTCAATTACTAAAATTTACCAAAACAAACAGGGAAAACTAAAACTGTTTAAAAATACAGTATATCGATCATGATTATGCCATCTACTGATGATGCCAACTTAGTTAACAAAACGCGCGTCTAAAGACAGTATTTTTGTTCTGGTGAGTGGAAAGTAATTTTAATGAATTCATATTACAGGAGAGCTTCCAAATTCAACTTACAACTTGCTACTTCCATTGTGGTGAAAAATGGTATATAAATACATAAATAAATTAGAGATGTGCCAACTCGAGATAATTCAATTCGAGTTTATGATATACAGGGTGTCCCGTAAGTCATGGATTTAACTCAAAGGGGTGTAAGGGGAGTTCATTTCCGATCAAAAAGTTCATATGAAGTAGGTATCAATTCCTAACAGTTTTTGAGTAATTTTGATTTTTATAAAAATATATATCACGCCCTCACTAACCAGTCCTTCGTATACCATTGATACTCTGTAGGAGTAAACTGAATGGGAGAAAAAATGAAGATGTGAAAAGAAGACGCAAGAAAGGAAGGAAGAAAAACTGTTCCTGGTGATGAAAATGATGATGATTATGAATACTAACAATTTTTGTAGAAAATTTATATTTATTATGGGTTTTCATTATTAAATTTACATTTTTTTTATAGATTTTTGATTTTTAATTATTTTCATTATCGGATACAACAGTTATTACTGTGGTTGATTATAAGATTGAGAAAGAGACTTATGGTATAAAAAAATAAGATACATATTCCATAATTGACTTTAGGTCGATGCTGGTCACTATCTTGCACTGACGAGTGGCCAGGTAGCCCGAAACTGGTCTGCAAGTGTGCCTGTTTCAAAATTGAAGGTCGACTCTTTCAGTTGTATTGCCAATTGCATATGCAGGAAATTTTCCTGCATATGCAATTGTCAACGCCATTCGCGTGGTATTAGTCAGTGGATTAGTTGTTTTCTGATAGGTGTCAGTCCATTCAAACTACTGTGTAGGTATATCCGAGACTGGCGTGAACATTCAAAGTTCATTTCTTTAGATTTGTTTACTGCCTGTCCTCAAGCATAGCCCACTGACTAATAAGAAAATAATGTTTCAAATTTATTGAAGAGTCATATAAATAAATTCATATTGAAATAAACATATAGTTATGGAAAATGTATTATCTCTTGATTGACATTGGCATGTAGGTTTGCTAACAGTGACAACAAATTTATTAATTTACTAAATAAAAATCTGTCAATTATCCAAAAATTTGATTTAGCTCTTGGTAAAAAAGCTTCATTTTCTACTTCTCTTGAAATTTGTTGATCATTTAGCGAGAAGTAGAAATCCAAAAAGCTTTTTCATCAAAAGACTAATCTCTCCTAAAATTTTTTCATTTTCATTTCAATTGATATAGCTCTACCATCAAATTGAATAGAACAAATTTTGTAAAAAAACGACGATAAGTGAAAAAAGTATGGTGTGGTCTGATTTGATTTCCTAAATGGAGAACCAATGAAACATGTTAGACGGAGAGAAATTTATTGAAATAAATAATGTTATGTTCCAAAGTAGTTCAGCTGGCCTATGTGGGCTAGCATTGGAAAAACAAAATGGAAAAAAAACATTGTTCAAATTCACCCCAATAAATACTGTATATCTAACTTCTTAAGAATAATTTTCATCATACCAAATTAAAACTTTTTATGCAATACAAAACTATGGTTTTTAAATAAAGTTGGGGACAGGTACAAAGTGGTTCTGCTGGCCTAGTTGGGCTAGCATGGGAAAACCATAAGATGGAAAAAATGTATTGTTCACATTCACCCCAATAGATATGGTATATCTAACTTCTCATCAATAATTGTCATACCAAATTAAAATTTTTAAATGAAGTTGCCAACATCTTTTCAACTATGGTGGTAAACTAGAAATGCGTCTCTCAAGAAACAATGTCTGGAATAATTGGTTTTGTTTCATCTCAAGTTGGATGGTATGTATATATATATATATATGATGTAATGATAAAATTGAATATGTTTGTACCATTTTTTTAATAATTACCTCGATAAATGTTAAAATTGAAAAAACTCCACACGACACCAACTAACAACCAAACTAGAAAACAGCGCTTAGCAAAATGGCCGATAACAATTTCCGTAACAGTGTTGCCACTAGCTGATAAAGAAATTATCGTGCAGCGCTGGCAAAACTATCGATTTCTCTTAAATATTATATACCAATTTTTTTTATTTTGTTGTTTTGGAAAAAAACCGTCGTAATCATTTCAGTGTATATATAATCACATAAAAAATAGATAACAAAAAAAGTAACACAGGAACTTAAATCTAGTCCAAAATTATTTGATATCAAAATCAATATCAATATCAACATTTCTATCTTTATCGTGTTAATTCGAGGTTATCGAACTAATCGCGTCCTCTGTAACATTCAAAACAGTATCACTGTATATTCGATTTCCCACATTTGTTTTTATTGAATTCACCTTAGAAAATATCCTCTCGCAGGTGGCATTCGAATGGGGAATTACTAGTAAATCCAATACAAAATTTCACGATTATTTAAACATAAACATATTAGATCCATCACGAGTGCGGAAAATTTTCTACCAATATTTGTCAATAACTGTTTCATTATTGACCTCTGCAGTTAAATCCGACTGGCAATATAGTTGCCACTGATCGAATTCTTGCATAAGTTAGTTATCTGGGTTTACAATTATAGGTAGTGAGTAGTAAGTTCATTAATGGAAAAAATGACGACGGTTTTGGCGTTGAATCTTTTTGAAACACAGACATTTTTAACAAAATATTATCATCGAAATCGAACCGTTTCTTTTATTTCATTTTCGAACGTAATCAAAAATTGGCGACACCGAATATAAAAATCTTCTTGCTCTTTGTGATTCAATTTATTGATGTTTTTCAATATGCGAACACCAAGGTATATTTGTTTTGAGTGAATAAACTGACAAGGATCTTTTTGAGATAATTCAGTTTTAAGAATATATCATGGTCTTGAATCACTTGATAAAATGTCCTCAAAGTGCTGCAACCTACATCATAAATGTGTGTTATTATGGTAGATTCACATTGAAAATATTCACCTAATTTTAAATAATTGGACAAAACCAATAAAAAAAAAGAAAAAGCTAAGTTTCCATATCATTCAGTCTGTTGGCAATAATTTCGGATGTTTGTAACCTATGTTCGGTCCGTTCTCGTACAAGTACAGTTGAAGAAGATTTCATTGTTCAATAATCCTTCCGACAATCATTAGTAATGAGAGGCATCTGGTTTTTGAATTAGCCATATGTATTTCCGGCCAGATCCTCACAGTAGCAAGGCAAAATTTTACAGGCCTCACTAGCACATAGATGTAATGAATGAAAAATTAATGTTTGTACTATAATACCAGGAAAATTCACTTTCAATCTACTCACTACTGAATTTTTGGAATCAAACATAGTGTTACAACCGTCAGAGTCAAAACCTATTATATTTTCAAAAGGTATATTTGCCGACTCAAATAAACTTTTAATTTTCTTATGAATCACTTTTGCTGTTGCACCTGTTTCTGCTTCAGCTGAATTTTCATTTAAAAAATAGTAAACCAAATAAAAAAAAATCGTGGTTATTTCATTTTTATTACCAAAGTACCGTACACACACGAACATGAAATAATTTCAATTTATTTTTTTAATTGGTACAGTCAAAGTTGAAACATACCAAGACTAAAAAATTATGTTTCAATTATAAATTATAACACACATTATCGTTTACTTAATTTTGAGGAGAAATTATGTTACAATTCGATAATTATGTTACAAGTGGCAACACTGTACCATAATCAAACAGTGACGTCAGTACGGACTGGCCATCGAAGAGAGAACTTCGACTCCAACAACTAAAAAAAAATGAAGAGATTGACATCTTGTCCTTTACATCAGTTGAAGCTTATACATTGCGTCAGAGGCGTTTTCTTGTGATTCAAATACTCAGAGTAACAAAAGACAATAGACAGACCTTTTGCATCCTTACACTAAACACTTTGTTTGTTTACGGGAAGTAAGTTGGACCATAAAACAGTGGCGGTTGGTTTAGTTTATAATCCGAGTGATATTATATATTTATAAAATAAATCATTTCAGGTGAAAATGTATTCTGTTCAAATAGTTCCTACAGGAAATCTAATTTATTATGATTATGGAAATGGTGCCAGTTTTTCTACCACCTGCTATATTTTTTTATGTATGGCTTTATAATAAAGCGCATGGTTTACTGGGTTTAAATTAAATTATTTCTAATGAACTAATTCATCACAATGATAAATGTTAATTTCAAAAGTAATAAACTTTGTTTCATGAAATCAGATGAAGAAGTTACCAATTTTGAATGAAATCACATAAAAATATCAAACCTCAATCGTAATTATAAATATTCATGATTTCTAATAGAAAATTATTTATATCGGACCTCACAAACCGTACCGCTTGTTCATCAAATCTGAAAATGAATCACAAATTTCTTCATAATCATATGAAGCAAAGTTCATTACTTTTGAAATTAACATTTATCGTTGTTATGAATTAGTTCATTTGAAATAATTTGATTTTAACCCAGTAAACCACGCGCTTCATTATAAAGCCATGGGTACATAAATAATAATCTAGTAGCTGGTAGAAAAACTGGCCCCATTTCCATAATCATTAATAATAAATCAGATTTCCTGTAGGAACTATTTGAACAGAAAACATTTTCACCTGAAATGATTTATTTTTTAAATATATATCTCTCCGATTATCAACTAAACCAACCGCCACTGTTTTATGGTCCAACTTACTTCAAATGTAAACAAACTCTCATTATCCGCCACCCCCCCCCCTTACCACTAAGTTGTACAGAACAGGATACTCCGATACCCGTTCAAATACATGTATTGGTATATGCATGGAAACTCTATGCAGTGCTGCTTCAGGGCAAAAAAAAATGTACGAAAATGACAGATGAAAATGTATGCTTTTCGCTATAATTGTATAGCACCAATGGTCGCCAACATCAGAATAATTGACAAGTGACAGCTTCTCGCATGATGCAAACATGGATTGATGGAATAAAGCGATTTGCGCATGCGCAGACGCCATTATATGTAATGTATTTCGATGTGGTTATTACAACATATTGATTTGATTGCCCGCATTAAAAATTCCTTCAGCTGTTCCACTCTCTGTCTCAATTAAATATAAGAATCTATCATACAAAGATTCATTTTTCCAACAATTACTAAACACGTTTTCATGCTTATATCTGTAGCTTCATCGATGACAATTGAAAAATGAATTCTCTTCAGATCATTTACTATCTCATTTTTGAAATTTGGCTTTAAATGTCCGACGATTAATTGGGTAGTTTTCTTTCTTTTCGAATTGATTCCTTTGGCAATTTCAGAATCAACAAATGCACTTATGCAAAAATCTGCAAAAGTATTCATTAGTGATAATGTTGAATCATGTTTACATGTACACTGTGTCCAAGATAAGAATGAACAACATGGGGATATCGGAAACGGTGATATGTGGTCGATTGAATTAGAGAAAAGTAGCGCATTTATATGCCTAATAAATAATGGGGACACCTAATGCATCATAATGTATAAGATAGAAATCGCAATACACAGAAATTTACTCCATCATAACGTCAAATGATAGAAATCGCAATTGATCATATAGTACAATGATGCACTGTTTGGAACCTTTGGTGTAGTAATGAATATAACTGGAGTTTTTTCCCAACACCAAATCGTTATTTTTAACACCTCGACACGTGTTTAAAAAAAATATAATGGTTTTCGAGGACCTAGTATACCATAATTTGTAGAGCAACTGAATAGAAAAGAATGAGTGTAAATGATTTGTAATGAACATATTCAATGATTCCTAATATAAAAAATTTAACTGTTCAACTAAATTTTTAAGGAGCTGTAGCTGCCTAAGAAATCATTTTATGATTTTCAACATTATAAACCATCTTTTATATGAAGGTTCAAGTTTTTCAAAAAAAAAACGTATCCAAAAATATCAGTCTATATTCTTCAGTACAAAATATTAGTCTGCATATTATTCAGCACAAACAAAATCCATTAGAAAAATGATATACTAACACAAACTCGTTTTGAAATCAGTAGCATGCAAATGAAGAAATTATCCTATCTAATAAAGAACATTGAAAAGAAAATGACGAAAAATAATTTAAAAAAACTAATAAAACTTTGGTAAAGAGTATCACTGAAATAACTTTAGAAACTCATTATATTTTTGTTATGGGTAGAATAAAACACTGTTTTGGGTTTCTTATACACATTTTTCTTCAGTGATGAAATATGTCTCTCCTTAGCTCTTCTCAGCCATGCTTTGATAGCATCTTCTGTAGATTTTTTGTTTTCTGATCCGCAACAATTGTCAGCAGCTTCTGCAAAAAAATATTTCCCAATAAAAAAAGAATACAGCATATTTGAATATGCTCAATTAAACATTCCCTCAACTTCATTAGTTAACAAATTAATATGTGTTACAGTGATTAATTGTTTACAGCCTTTTCTTCACCAAACAGTTTGGAAAAACAAAAAATACCGATTCCATAAAAGAAGAATTACCAAAAACATAGACAAAACCTTTGATAATGTGTACACCATCCACAAACAGTCAGTTAGAAGTTAGAAGGGGTAATTATAATGCCTTGGGTATTTGCCTCATCAATTCTGACAGACAAGACATCATCACTAGGTTGGGCATCAGTGATATCATCACTACTCGAAGTGGAGGAAACTGAACTGGAATATTCACGAGGTCTTATATTGGAAAATGATGAATCATTGGTGTCGGTAGTCTCCAAACAGGTGGATGATCCTGCACTGCCTTGTAATGATTTTAACTCCTTTCTTGTTCTCTTGTATATTTTATGGAGCATTTTTTTTCTTTTAACATTTTGTTTTTCCATCTTTCAACACTATTCAAAAGGCGTTTTCGTATGAAAATTTGATTATATAGCTATGTCAGGTTATAAAATATTTAATGGAATATTTACCTGCTTGGACTGCTTTTAATAAGATTTACAAATCAAACACCGATTCAAATAAACATC